AATTCGTAGGCAAAATAAGGAACTGGCAAGGCTAAAGATTTCATATGAAAGACTCGCTACAGACCTTAGAAATTGCAAAGCAGAGAGAAATTTTCCGACTGATCCGTCAAACAATCGGAGTGAAACATATCATAGCAAACTAAAGGATATGAAGGCCTTCGAAGGGCGCTGTGCCTCGTCCTCTGGGTGGATAGTGATTCAAAGACGATTCGATGGAAGTGTTGACTTTAATCGCACCTGGAATGAGTACAGAGAAGGATTCGGTATAATCGAACGAGAATTTTTCATTGGACTGGAGACACTACATTTGCTGACCAACAAGACAAAGTATGAACTTTGTGTGAGGATCGGAGATGCCGGAGGAGACTCCGCCTACGCCCACTATGACGAGTTCCAAATAGGCAGCGAAAAAGAATCTTACAAGCTCAAAGCCCTTGGAAAATATTCTGGAACCGCTGGTGACAACCTTAAATTCAGTAGGAACATGAAATTTTCAACAATCGATGAAGACAATGATAACTTCCAAGGACATTGCGCAATTTTAAACGGTGGATGGTGGTATAATTTATGTTGGCGCAGGTACGCATTAATGATATTCTAATAAATAAATTCAAACCTAAAATCATTTAAATCTCCAGTGCGCTGAATGGACCATATAGATTGGGTGATGACGAGACTGGAAAAGGAGTGAAGTGGTTATGGAAAAAGCAGTTTTACGGATCACTTGCCTTTGTTGAAATGATGATAAAACCTACATCGGCGAACCCTACTCCAAAATAACCAGATTAATGGTTCCGAATTTGAGATTTTATTAACCTTTATTCTTTTTGATTAGCAATGTATTCAAAATTGTTTTCCCAATATGAATTTATTGCCTGTCTGATTTTTGTTTATGATTTGGCTGTGGTTTCTGCATCCTGGTATCAAATTTTTTTCAAAATAGTGTAAATTAAAATCATTAGATTCCTAATATAAATTTGAATAGTTGCATAAGCCCCAAAAAAAAAAACATCAAAAAGGCTTAAATTGGGAAATATTTTTTATACCTAATTCTCAATACTTAAACGACATTCCTTTTTAAAATTGATTAATAGATGGACAAGATTTAAGATTTAAAAATAATACTTAAATACCATTAGAGATTTTCTTACTAAGTTCGATAAATAAACTTAGCCGTCAATAAATATTGTTATCATATTTTGAGAAAACCGAGAATATATTTCAAAAGTTCATGTGGATCCATGCTTTTAAAGAGAAATCCTTCAAAGACACCCCGAGTACCCCCAATCTGGTTCCGGGTTTCATCGCCTCCGTCCGTAGCTTCATTCATTCCTATCTCTCACGCTTCCAGCTATTTGCACACAAACAAAAATAAATATTAAATCTCAGACTGACGAAAGCGAAATCGCTTTGCACGGGAGACACCCCTCAACCTCCAGCCCCGGGGGCAGCCCACTCCCGGTCGCTTTGGATTTATTTTATTACTCGTACTATGTGGCACGCTTATCGACGAGCACACAGCGTTTAGTTTCGTGATTGAGTGGGTGGACATGTGGATTGACAGCGTGAGTCTGCCGGATCCACAGAAGCTCATCCGTTTCCCACCCTTCTCAGGATTCTGTCTTCAACCTGTGGGAATGCTTCTGCGGTGTTCGTTTGCGGAATCTAATCCGAGTATGGTTTCTGCTTTTAAAGTCTGTCCTATTTTCGGGTATTTCGAGTTGGTAATTAAAAACTCTGGGAAACCCTTTATTCTGCGGTAATCCTTTGGTGCCCCCGTCCACGATCCGGCCATAAATCACAAAACGAAAAGCCATACATCATAGACACCGTGGGGAATCCCCCGAATAGAAAGAAGTACACAATGATGACACGGCTCTGCCAAAGCAAAAAGCTGCAAAAGTTATTTTGTAATTAGTGCAAAAGGCAGCGACATCACCAGTTGACGGTTTGGGGAAAAAGGACACAGCAGGAGCAGCAGCAGAACAACAAGCCCAACAGGATAATGATGATTACGCTGGCGCAATGAAATTGAAGACGACTTTCGGCCGACGCTGCACTAATTACCGCTGACGCGTTTCTCGGCGGAGTAGGAGAGACGCAAAGCTACGACCAGGACACCACTCCCGATTCCTGGATCAGGATGAGAATCTCTAGCTGGGGCTGTCAACTCAAGTTTGACACTTTTTTGCTGACAATTTATGAGCACGCCCATAACAGATACAGACTCAGTGGTGTTTACAGTGGGCTTCAAAAGACTACAGAGTAGCAATGGTTTTACGAATGGTTTTCAATATTAATTAAATATATTATATCTTAATTATATATATCTTAATTATATAAATATTCATTAGTATATATTTTTGATAAAGATTTTAATCCTATTAAAGGTTGATCTTTAAAACTCCATACATTAAAACCATACTCCCTTGTATGGGTTTCAATCCATACTCCCCAATGATTGTTCTCACTTTTCCTTTTAATTGACTTTTGAAAATTAATTATCCCTAAGTTTCAAAGAGGTTTTAAATATTTTACAGAGTTTTTAAAATACATATAATAATATATGTATACATTTATTTTGCATTCTTTTAAACGACTAATTTGGAATATTCAAAATTCATTTATTGCAGTGCATATTAAGCAGTGCATAGAAAGCTTATTTCATGTTTTCTCCCACTGTGCACTGTGGACACAGGCTGACACTCGAGCCGCCTAACAACGCTGCCACTTAGTTTAGAGTTTTATGAGCGCAATTCGATTATTCTTCATTTACGTCAATCAATGAGGATGCTGCTCTTAGAGGCTGCTGCTAGAGCCTGGCCGCGCACCCTTAATCGCTTTGTTTAAATAACAAAACGCTGCCAAGAAAGGGAATTTTCCGAAATTTAATATCGAAGATGAGGTTTTTCTTGTGGCTGCCGTTTCTGTTACTGTTTTTGTTATTATTTTTATTTATTTTTTTTGTTTGTTATTGTTCCTGCCGCCGTCTTGTCTGCGAAAATGTCTGCCCTACAGTCTGCCGCTTCGTGTATCCTTTTCGATTGCGAAAATCCGTAGTGGATATGCTCTTCCTATTCTGTTGATTTTCATTTCATTTCCCAGTTCGGGTTTTCCTTTTTTCGTCCCGCTTCTTGTTTATTTCGCTTTGCTGTTTGCTTCTGCAATTTTATCATAGCTTTTGGCTGAGTTGCCTCTGTTTGCCTGTTTGCCGTATGCTTATGAGGGTTAGGTCCACGCGGCGTATTAGCAATGTTGCCAGGACATTTGAGCCTCTCCGGAAGTTGCAGTCGTCCCAGTGAGATTATGAATTGCCCAGCTTGAATGAAGTGTGGGAGTTCTAGCAGTTGCTCACACTGTTGACCGAGATTATTGGCTGCCCAAGTGGCAAAATACAATACTCATATACTTGGGTAAGAGGAACATAAGAGGAACTTTGAGGAACATAAGCGCTTAGAAGTTTCAAGGACCACCTCAATGACTTATTTTACTAGTCAGAGTTAAGGGGAAATTATTGAAAGGCTTGGTGGACTGGGAACTTCACAAAGTGCCTATAGATTTTGGGTTCAAGAGGATATTGGAACTAGTTTGGTTTAGTGGTCTTCAAATAAGGCTCTGTTTTTATTAGGGCGACCATTTTTAAGGCCTAGATAACATTATGTTAAAAAGATTTGAATTTATTATATTACCAAAATAAAGTAAAGGTAAAAAAAAATTTAAAAAAAAAAAAATTAAATTTTAGTGTTTGTAACATTTTGAAATGCAAAAAAAAAAAATTTCAAAGATAAGTAAAATTTAATTCAGGATTCAGAAGTAGAAATTCAATTAATTTTACTTCAAGATTCAATATTTAATAATACCTAACTATATTTTCCAGTACTGATGTTTATAAATAAGTTTCTTTAGTTCTCAGACCATTTTCCGTGGGTATAAATATATATTTCTTACTTATGTGTATAGAAACAAAGTAATCTAAGTCAAAATAAATTAAAGAATCGAGAAACACTTGATGAATTTGTATTGGAAAGCTATTAAACTATTATTTTTAGGTAACAATTTTCGAACTATTTTGAAGTTCGAAACACACAAAACTAATATTTAAAGTTAAAAATTAAATATAAAATGATTAAAAAATTATGAAAAAGAATAGAAATGACCAAAACTATGAAAAATAGATTGAAGTACTTAAAGTCACTGAAAAAAAATAAATATCCATGCAATTATGTCCAAAATTGTTGGCCATTTGAATTATGTAGGAATTATGTAGAAATAAAATCGATGCATGGTTTTTGGCACATCAACCTTAAATCGTAGATATTTCCAGCTTGAAGGATTTTCAGGCCCCTCAAAATCCCGCAGAGCAAAAATTCAAAATGGCCGAAATCGAGGAGAATGTGAGACTGTGAGCGTGGGCCTGGCGAAAAACAAAGGAAATGTCCTGGCAACATGCTAACAGTATTTAACGCACGACTGAGATTCACGGACAGGCAGCCCACCCATTTACCGGAGAGGAGAACTTTCCCGGAATCCGATTGGTTCTTGCCAGCCAGGTGGTTCAAAGTGCCCCGACTACCGAAAGGACTCGCTTTGATACTGTTGCCATCCACCCTCGACCAATGCCTGAGACGAAATTCCGGCACAGCCCGATCCGGAGCCCTGCACCTGCGCAGCTCTGTCCGTGGAATGCTTTTCACCACACCCAGCCGACACTGGGTTCGAGCGAGAGGGGATGCGAATGTCCTTTGGCAGGACTATCCATCCGGGCAGACAAGAAAGGCGAATGCGAGCGCTGTTAGTTTCACTTCGTGCGTTGTCCTGCTGAGGCCAAAGGCGAGCCTGGTGTTACGGGTATATAGCAATAAAATATATCTAAATAGTTAAAAATAAATTAAAATATAAAATTAAAAATAGCTAAATAATACTACGAAATTAATCATTATTCGAAAACGAGTTCTAAGCCTTCGAAAAATTCAGTTAAAATCCATTTTTTGTGTCTTGAAGGGCAAAAAGGCTCACGTGTTCCAGGGGTCGAAAAATTCCAGTGTATATACTACGCCCCTTCATGGAGGGTTGGGGCGTGGGTTGGCCCTTAGGCCCCCTCACCCTCTACCCTACATATACTATGTAATACAATGTATATGTATGGCTTTCCAGTCGAGGTCTCAGCAGAGATGGCGGCTTATGTATCCACGGCCACCTGGCCTTCGACGCGATCCTCTGCGATTGAGGTCCACAACGCGGCTGAATGTGACCTGGCTGTCACACAGTCTTCAGACAGAGTTCGATTCGGATCGCCATCGTCCTCGTCCTCGTCGGGGTCCTGGTCTGGTCTTGGTCGTCGTCGTGCCGTCGGTCTCGTGGTCAAACTCTGTCTGAATGTTGTCGTCCCCACATTCTAAGTTTTTAATTGGTTTATCCAAAGTTTTTGCTTTGGTTTCTGGTTTTTATTTTTTTCGGGGCGTGTGTTGCTCAGAAAATGTGAGAAGGATCTCCAATTAAAAATATCACCAGACTTTAATACCAAATATATGTCTAATACCGATTTCCATTGCAGCGTATCGCGTAGTGCATAATAATCAAGCTATATCTGTTATCTGTGTACCTTATTTGTGATATCCTAACCAACAACAACAAAATATATTACTTAACAAATTTTGTTGCCTAATACGAGAATTAATTTAAGCCATAATAACTAAAAAGAAGTGTTCTAAGTTTCAAAGGAAAGACGCTTACATAATCGGGAAAAACGTCGAAATGGATTACGTAACACTTTGGCAGCACGTAAGTAAGGTCAAAATTACAGACGCTTTTGAAGGAAGACTTGGAATTGGAATCTTTTTTTCTTATGTGGAATTTAGTTTAGCTTATTTAGTTATTTTTTTAGTTTAGTTTATTTTAGATTATTTTTTAGTTAATTTTTTTACATTATTTAAAACCTGATATGAATCTATAAAACTAAAAATCAATTTATTTCGATGTTTCCATTTTATTTGAATATTTTTAAAAATTTACATCCATTTAGGAGATGGTATCTAACAGTTACATTCTTGGATTAAAAAATGGATCAATAAATACATATGTCGGCTATATCGGCTATATATTGTAGCCTTATCGTTCTACGGCTACGGCTTTTTGTCATCTACATACATATGTACTTGCACTGCCGTTCACAGTGATATAGTACATTTCACAGTACATTTATTTTCAAAGTTTTAAAAATTGGTAAATTTTGCAAAAAATGGTTTGAAAAGAAATTTTTGAAACACAAATAAAATTTCCTTGTCTTTTTTATTTTTCTTTTAGAGAAACTAAAAGAAAAAAACTTTAGAGCAGTTCTGATTCTTAGAATTAAAAATAAACTTTTATCTTCAACAAAAAATACCGCTTTTTTTTAGACCGTTCTTATTCGTGTTTTCAAAATCTGCAAACATAGAATTCAACTCTTTTTTTTTGAAACTTGATAGTCTCTAATGAAGCATAAATAGCAATCAAAGTTGCTAACAAAGCCAGAAATATTTACAAAACGCTTTCCCGGCTCACCATGTCCTGTTCCCGGATCTCATATCCCCAATCATCCCCTTTCGCCTGCCAAGCAAATTTATGAACATAAGCCGCTTACACCGAAATGTGCAAAATGCCGAAATTATGCCAGACTTTTTCTTATCAGTCGGGGAACACAAATTGGTGGACCCAGATTAATAACTAGTACACATCTCTATTGCAGGCACTGTGAATGAAAATGTAACAATTTACCGGCGGCAAAAGTAACGAAGGACAAGCTGAAAATCAAAAATAGATGGCGGCCAACTAAAGAGACCCCTCTGAGCGAAACGAACCAACCCGAAAATAGAGTCATCAAATTTGTGCCGGCTTCACGGAAATTAACCGCCGCCGATTCGCTACGCTTATATACACGGCAATCCGCCGTGAAGTTGGCTACAAAAATCCGTGTACATTTATGCGCACAAGTGATAACAGCGGAAAAGCCATCGAAGCACGACAGACGCTGACTTAGGCGGACTTTGCGATCCAGATCCCAAGGGGAGGTCGAGTTCAGGGAGAAGCGCTTGGCGGGAAGAAGGTTCTAGGACAGCAGCAACATGAAGGGATTGACGGCGTTTAAGGAGAAGGCCACGGGCGTGTTTGGCGGGTGAGTTTGAAAAGCGATTTTTATTCATATGACAGAAAAATGAATATGATTCATTTTATTCATAATCCAAAAGAATGAATAAAAAATATGGAAAGTCAACGAGGCTTAAAAATATTTATTATCGTGGAACCTTGTCAACAATTCAACAATTTCTAACATTGCTAAACTCCTTCTTTTTTTTATAAATTTCTTCGGACTATAGATAAGCATTTAAGCCAAGAAACATACAAGTTAAAAACCTATAATTTATTTTTAATTAAAATCAAAATAAAACCCTCTCTAGCCAACAAAACAAAACCCAAAAGCCGTGAATGAAATATGGTTGCAATCAAAAGCAATAGACCTCAGTAAGGATAAAAAAATTTTAATTTAACGCAAGGCTGGTCATCTCACCAGGTTGATTGAACTGGACCAAACCAAAATGGCCATAGCGAATGGAGTTCTTATTTTTATATAGAATGATGATGTGCTAAGCCCGGAATAGCCGGCGTCGCCAAACTTGGGCACGTGGCGTTGCCCGGAAAGTTGTAAAATTATTGGCATGCTTAACAAGTCATTAAAGACGTAGATGGCAGGACAAGGGGGTGGCAGGACCTTCCAGGACTTCCAGTGCCGGTGACAATAGACGCGTTGGCATGCCAACGAAGCACACCGATGCCTCAGGAATTCCGGGCACGTTGCCGTAGCCAGCACGTGTCCACACGGAAGCTTTAACTCCGGCACTTCGGATTCGAAAGTCGGCACTCTCAAACACAATAAAGGTTCTGAAATGTGCACACATATTGAACGTGGGTGGGGGCATGCAACACTCCGGCGTTTAACTGATATCTCAAGGACCTTGGGCGTAAATTAGAAATTGGAACAATAGGTGGGCACATCGCTTTCATTAAGGAATGTGTTGCATACCAACGAAGGGCTGCAACGAGGGCCCACGCAAATGAAATTGATTTTTACGAGCCAGTTGCGTGGGCGGCTCGTCTCTGCCGCTGAAGTTCTCGAGTGCCACTTGGCGCAAAGAAATTGAAATGCCTCACCCTGGCAAGGAAGCTGGAGCAAGTTGAAGAAGTTCCTTTATCCTTGCCAGTGCCAGTGAAAATGAAATTAGAATTGTCATTGAAGACGCGGTCGTGTAGCTGACAACCAGCCACCACCAAGATTCTCCGATGTCAAGGCAAACAAACTAATACACTCCATAATATAAACGCTAACATAGATATCTGCGGCTGTGGCCCATTTACATTTAATGGACGCGTTTTGTGGCAGTCTTAAAGGCGAGAAGGAGCTGCTGCGAATCCTTCGTCTGTGGCGCCAGTTAGCTATAATCTAGGCGGCGCCAAAAAGTCTGCAACATTTTTACTGACTATCAAGATACCCGAATGAAAGCCAAGGCGAAACTTCAGCGCCTCAGATACATAGTTTGGCGAGACTTCAAAACAGAAAAAACAAATTGTGGGGGAATAATAAAAACTATTGAACAGACACGGACAAAATGCTCTCACCAGTTTTTCATTTTAATTTTATCAAATTTATATTTACAAAAAGTGTAGTTAAGGCTTTTAATGAATGGCTTTACTCGAGTAACTTGAAGTTATGTTACCTATTTTGGCGCTATTTTTTTAAGTATGGTACAAACCAATTTTTCCAGCAAAATATGAAAAAAATATCTCTTAAAAATGCTATGTTTTCGGTTCTTTTAGAATACCATTGGCCTAACAAACTACTGTGAGATCATTTTTCAATATAACTTTTGGGAAATCCAAAAAAGGTCCACAACAAGTTCTTAAAGTGATTTTAAGAATTTTTAGCTTATTAAAATTTTTATAGTGATTCTACACACGTTTCAAGAATGGCTTTAGTTAGTGATTAGAACTCATTGTATATGTATACGATTTCAAGTGAAACCATGAATCAGATTATGACTTTCAATCTAACAAGTCTTGCGGTTTGGCGAAAAACCAAACCTTCAAATTCAGTCGATCCAAGCATGTCGCCAAAGATTGTGATTTTTTTTTTCTGTGCCAGCGTTTTCCTGGGAATCGCCAGCGCTAACATTTTAAAGACAGGACCACAAAAGCCATTTAGTCAGGAAGTAAGTTAAGCACAAGGAAATATTGCAAGTGCGCATTTTGAATTCTTGTTTTTTTAGACAGCTGCTGGTAGCCATCAAGAAAACTTAGAAATCCCAGGACGTACTTCTGGTAGTTCTATCGCTAGCAGTCCTGCTCCTACTGCAACTCAAAAACCTAAAAAAATGGTCCTATACACCCGGGATCAGGAAGAAAACTCTGAATGGGGACTATTAAATCGCGATTTGGGAAGGATTTTATTTAAATTTTAACTGTTACCCTGATAAGTTTTAATCTGATAAAATCTTTAAAATAATTATACAAGTATTTTCGGAAAAAGTTCATCAGTAATAAATATGAGGCCCATGTCTTGAAGGGCGTACAAAATTGGCATCAGCCTTAAAGTCGGTCAAGGCAAAAGACCTTTTTTTTTGGAAATTTTTTCTTTGCTCTTGATCCTGCGGGTCCTGCGTGACCAGACAAGGGTAGCTTTGGCGTCAGACGGCAGACGCTTGAGTTATGTGACAGTCGGCGTCTTCGATGGCAAAGTTATCCACTGTAGTGGCTTGTTTTCGGCTGGTGGCTGCTTATTAGTTTGTATTGCTTACTTATCCCGTCTTTGTCCCCGGATATTTATGAAGAAAAATGACTAAGGGGGAGTGGAATGAAATGGAAGTTAGCTCAGGCCTGGTGTGTCACTTATCCTGGGTAAATGGCTGGATGGGGATTTAGTTAGGACTGGTTAGGTCACCTAACCTTCACCCCACTCCGCATTGCAGTTAACCCACAACCATTCCATCCATCAATCAGTGGCTGACAAGTTCTTTTCACTGTTTACCTCTGAAATCAAATCTGGAAATGCGATTTTAGATTGTCACCTGGTTCAATCAACTTTAAATACCCGAAAGCAAAGCTATCAGCACTTAATAAAATTGAATTTTATTCCGACAAACACAAAAGGGAACTCCTCTCAGGAATTCCTCCCCTTAGTCACCGCAATTCCTTCGGGACCTTGGCGAAAAACAACAACCACCTTGGATTGGGTGGGTATTGGTGGGGGTTACGGCAGCTGTTGCTGTTAACAAGCCAGAAATATTTGTGTGTTTTCACGCCCCTCGTTGACCTGTTGATTTGGCTTTTAAGCAGTCCTAATTGGCAAGAATTATGAACCCTCAAATGTAGAGGCTAGATAAGAACTGTTCAGAAAACTCTTAGGCTTTAATCACAAAGAGTCACATCTCTTTAGCTTTTGGAAGAATCTACCAAAATATATGTGTGTGTTCTCTTGTTGACAAAAAACTGGACCAGACCTTTACTCTTCGAAAATTACACTAGCTTACAAAATTCGTTAAAAAAGATACCACAAATTTTAAATAATAATACACCATTTTTACTTAAAATTTTAACACTCAACAATTACTACTTAAAAAATATTGTTAAATATTTACATTCTAGCATTATTGTATATTAATTATTGGTAAAATTGGTATATTTATATGATTTTGAAAATCTTTTTAAAAGTCTTTTTTTTTGGTACAAGAAATGAAATTTAAACAAAAAAATTTTGTTAAAACCTATTTTTTCTGACTTAATCAGAAGTAAGCTTATATTATAATAATAACAGAATATATTTCCAAAGGCACCTTTATTATTGTGTTAACTAGTGTTGGTATAATATAGGTATTCAAATATTTCAATTTTATAAATAAAATTGAATAGAACTCACAGATAAAAAAGCGTCACGGGAAACGGTCGTATTTTTACTTGCTCTTTGCGGATGTTCTTTTATAAACTTAGCTTAATTGTATTTTAAACATATAAAATACACATATATTAATTATAATAAACATATAAACAATAAACACATAGTAATAAACATATATTAATTTATGTTAATTAAAAACTGTATGTGCGCGTCTCCAAGAGATTTCAACAAATAATTATCACTATTTATTTGACAAATACAATTAAAGACTCCACACGGTCTTCAAATCACAGTTTTTCTTTTAAAACTCTTGTGACAAACATTTGCTGAAGAAATTTATTTTAATTTTTATATTATTAAAGCAAATGCTTTACGACTTGAGAAATTTCTGCAAAACTAAAAATGAACTCTAAAAACCCAGAAAACGTGTCTTGCATTAGTGATTTGTGTTCAGCAAATACAAAAGAATGTGTTCAGGATGAGGGAAGGTGAGAGTAGATTAGGTATAATTTTAAAACTAAATAGTTCAAGAAAGTTATCCATATATACCTCCCATATACCTTTTTTTACTTTATTTCATTGTCTTTCCTCATAATTTAGCCTAAAGCCAACCATGGAGAAGTTCGAGATCTCGCAGAGCTACCATGGCGGTCACGGCGGCTATGAGGAGATGGAGGGAGGTGAGCGGGAGGGTCGCGGACCAGGGGGCGGCCACGCCTACGACGATGACGACGATCGCCCGGACTCGCCCGCCTCCTTCGAGGAAATCGAGCGGCCGCCGCTCCGGAAGATCGACAAGTACTGCAAGGCGGAGTGTCCTTGCATGCCGGCCCGGTACACCATCGCCACCATGGCCTGTGTGGGCTTCATGATTGCCTTTGGAATGCGTTGCAATATGTCGGCCGCCAAGCTCAAAGGAGAACATAATGGAGTGAGTGATTAATTATATATATTTTATAAGAGAAACAATTTAAGGCAGCTCCAGGAACAATTGAATTTTAAAAAGTGTGATTTCTTCTGTGAAATACGTGCTTTAAAGACGTTTTCAAAATTCCTGAAATAAGATAGATCTATCTTTTTGCTAAAACTTGTCTAAAATTATATTACACTCAATAAATTCTTTTCGCATCTGTCACATATTAAACTCACACAACAAAATTAAATGAGCATCCAAAGAGCCAAACAAATTCGCTTCGTTTGGCGGAAAGCCGTTGTCAATTAGGGTGTGTGCCAGGATATCATATAAAAGTCACACACAAAAAACCACGCCCACACACAGTACACAGTTCGAGGCACATTTGAAATGCAGAGCCAGAGCTCGTTAATAAATGCCTGGAGCTGTTTTTAATGATTTCTGAGAGCTGCCATTCAAAGTCACTAACCCCGGATGTACTTTCAGACCGTGTTTATGAACTGGACCGTTGCCGTGGAGAGCCATGTGGACTCGTCCTTCTTCTGGGGCTATCTGGTGACGCAGATTCCCGGCGGCTTCATCGCCTCCAAGTTCCCGGCCAACAAGATATTCGGCCTGTCCATCGTCAGCTCCGCCACGTTGCATCTGTTTGTGCCCTTTGCCATGACGCTGATGCACGGTCATGTGGTGATTTGTGTGCGCGTGCTGCAAGGACTCTTCGAGGTAAGGACAACCCATCTAACCGGCTAACCAAATTCGATTTTGCCACAGATCAAAGCCTGGGATTACGGCTGCGTGATGTTGCGAAAAAAAAAGGGGAAGCTTCCGTCTAAGGAGGGGGGATAGATTTTCCTTTATGATAAAGCAAATATGTGAAATGGAAACATGTCCTAAGCTTTCACATGGGAAGGAGGACATCCCTGCCCGGCAGAGAAAAAATAACAAAAGCATTTATTTTAATGCGATTTCTTTGTGTTATTGGGGAGTTTGTCATTTCTTTGCTGCTCGGAGGGGGAGTTCTAAGGAAGAATATATATCCTATGTATATATGTATCTGAATATATATCCTATGAATTTTTAGATGTTTTTAGTTTCTAAGAAACCCATTCTTTAACCCCTTATATTACAGGGCGTTACGTATCCGGCTTGCCATGGCATCTGGCGCTTTTGGGCACCCCCCATGGAACGTTCCCGACTAGCTACGTTGGCCTTTTCAGGCTCATATGCCGGTGTGGTGGTGGGACTACCCCTCTCCGGACTCCTGGCGGATGCCGTCGGCTATCAGGCGCCATTTTATGCCTACGGCGTGTTCGGCATCATTTGGTACATGTTCTGGATTTGGTTGTGCTTCGAGAACCCGCGCAAGCATCCGGCAATTAGCATTCCCGAGCTGAAGTACATTGAGAAATCGCTAGGCGAGTCGGCTCATCCCACGATGCCTTCACTGAAGACAACGCCCTGGCGGGAGATGATGCGTTCCATGCCAGTGTATGCCATCATTGTGGCCAACTTCTGCCGCTCCTGGAACTTCTATCTGCTGGTTCTGTTTCAGTCATCGTTCCTCAAGCACAAGTTCGGCTTCAAGGTGGAGGAGGCCGGGTTTGTGGGGTCGCTGCCCCATTTGATTATGACGACGATAGTGCCCTTCGGTGGTATGCTGGCGGATCATCTACGCAAGAACGGTATCCTCTCCACCACGAATGTGAGGAAGTTGTTCAACTGCGGCGGCTTTGGCATGGAGGGTCTGTTTTTCCTCTTTGTGGCACATTCCTCAACGGCGGTGGGTCAATAAAATATCTATTCCTATTACTTTGGAGCCTTTTAAAACAATTTTATCCTTTCAGACGGGTGCCATGTTTGCCCTGACCTGTGGCGTGGCCTTCAGTGGCTTTGCCATTTCCGGCTACAATGTCAATCACCTGGATATTGCTCCCCGGTATGCTAGTATTTTGATGGGTCTCTCCAACGGCATTGGCACCTTGGCTGGAATCATAGTCCCCTATGCTCTGGATGGTCTTATTCAAGCTAATGTAAGTGCTCACCAGCCTTTGTAAAAATTTAGTTTTATTTATTTAAAAATTAATCTTAGCCCACCGGCTGCTGGACCACTGTCTTTACCTTGGCCGCCTGTGTTCATCTGATTGGCTGCACTTTCTATGGCATCTTTGCTTCCGGAGAGCTGCAGCCGTGGGCGGAGCCGCCTCCGGAGGAGCAGCAGGTGTGGGCACCGCCGGCGGGCGCCATTACCAATACCGATCCCAGCCAGGCAGGCATGGTGGGCAACTACATGAAAGAGACTTCATTTGTGAGTGAAAAAGTCTGAAATATTTTATTGCATTTTTCAAAGAATTTGTTATATTTTATTTATGGTATGATTTTGTATATTTTATGAACTTATTTATTTATTTAAAAACTTGAGTTGTTTAAGTTTGTAATACAAAAATGTTTATATAAAATAAAAGTACACTAATTTTGTTTTTTTCGATTAAGTTATTTGTTGTTTTAGGATTGGGGAGTGAGTGAATCATTAATAACTATAATTTCCCGAAATATTATTAGCTTCATTTTCTCTGTGCCAATTCAATAAAATGTATAAAAATTAGTAACGATTCCTACTCTGATCGAATCCTTTGATAATTCCATATTATAGGGTGCACCCGAGTACAATGAACAGAGCCAAATGCAGCAATCGGGTGCTATTAGTTATGGCGCCACCGGGCACGTGGCCAACAATCCCTTCGCTATGGCCGCCGCGAGTGGTCCCATCGCCGAGGAAGATGCCCCGCCGTCGTACGGCGACGTGACCAACACGTATGGCTACACGCAAGGACAACAGCCGGAGGCGGGTCAGATGCCGTCCTACGATCCGCAATCCTACCAGCAACAACAGCAGTAATGGGTCACAAATACATATATCATAGCTTTTAGTTTGTAGTGGAAATTGTTTGACGTTTATTGTTTGTTCTTGGTGTGTCGTTAAAGTTCACCTCCTATAACCTCTCACCCACCCATGAACCCTTCCCTCCCACTCTCCCCCTTTCTCTTTCTCTTTGTTGTTGGGGTAGCTGAAAGGATAATACGGCCTTTTCATAAAAATAGATACAATTAACAATAACTGAGACAAAGGAGTAAAATGTTCTATCGAATTTTCAGCGAATAGACTCAACACGCCACACTAACACAATGAAACTATGTACCTAACAGAGAAACTACATATGTATCCGCATGTTAGTCCGCATTTAGCACACACACCCACACACATACAGATAGAGAAACTGGCCTAAAGCATATACTAAATATTTAAGCCATGGCTAACGCGAATTTCTATTTACAAGCTCCAATAAAAGAAAAAGGAAAAACAAATTGCAAAGCAATAGGAAAATCACAAGAAAGGGAATTAACTGGAATATAAAATAATTGTATATCACAAACCACATAATCCAGATACGCACCACGTTTCCAAAATGAATACTATAATTATATTTGAATCAACATATACTCGTACGTATATAAAATATATACTGAAATATACATACATATATACATATATATATATAGCTAACTAATTATAATTGTTGTTAACTATTAACTACGAGGCCAGTGGAAGGGCGAAACTGTTTTATTACCGTTGAAGATATTATATCCTTGGCGCAAGGATCAGCCGGAACTGGCTGCTATTTCCGAGCACGAGAACATTTTAATCAAATCTAAGCAATTGTTGATGTTCGGCACGAATGATAACCATAAAATTGAAACTAGCTAATCGAGTATACCTAAAAGTATTCTACAAATAACAAGTAAACTTTAGTTGAATGACGAAAGCACAATACACAGGTACATATATAGTGGTAGGAGCCTATAACCTCAGACTTGGTCTTCATAAGCTCGGACAGGATTCACTTTATTACACAAGTACTTCCCTTTTTTCGGTTACAGGATAATAATCTTTTCAAAACTATAATTTCCTGTGAATCCAATAAATAACTAAATATTATATTACTTATTAAAAATCATTAAATCTCTCTAAACAATTAAATTTATAAAATTTAACATACTTTGTGGATTATATTGTACATAAATTTAGCAAATCAGTAGTTACATTTTTAAGTTTTTATTTCAGTTATGCACCAAACTTTAATTTAAGAGCACAAATTTAACTATTGAATCGCACCCTCGACTATCCTTTGTTTTGATTTCATTAAAATGCACTATTTATTATGGTTTTCTTTTAGTTTTCTCCATAATATGCATTACATTACTGCCAAATATGAAACTTAGAGTGTTCTTTTGAACATGGAACTCTTTAAAAATTATTTGTATCGTGTGTACATTATCCTTAAAGTATTATACTAGATAAAATTATGAATAACTATTTAAAGATAACTCAAATTATTCACAATTAAATCACTATGTATTAAAAATGTGAAAATTTTCTAACTAAAAGAGTCAATTCTTACCCGTAATTTGTACAGAGCAGCGAATAAATACTCAAACATATATTCATACTCATAGCTACTTAAAAATAGCGCTTAAACATATATTCAAATTTTAACTATAGTATCGTAGGCGGGAGTCCCTTGGAACAACCTTCCAGTTGCATTTTCCCTATGATACAGGTTAGCAATAAATACTGCTTGTGAAAGCGACAATACCTAACAAATAAGCTTAGTTAATAAAAAAAACATATATTTAATTAATATTATTTAAATCAAGTCATATTATTTCGATTATAGGCGAGAGTTTTTAGTGCTTTTAGAGGGCAATAGAAACAGATTTTGGCCACGGGGCGTATGTGTAATATTAATCTAGTTCAAACTCCATTCTGTACATAAGGTCATAGAAACTACTTACTCATATGTGTACTTTTAAAATCGAAAGGATGGCAGGATACGAGACTCCTAGTGGGTCTCACCTGTTCAGAGTTTATTTCCGTTTTCGTTTTTGAGAGATACTCGAAGCTCTCGGGGCTGTGTGGACAATAATAACATTAGATATGTTAACCCAAAAGCCACGGTTAAAATATTTGCTTACGTACAATATATATAATTAACTCACACTATTTACCATAAAAGGAAAGTTTGTAAATAAGAATATATTTATGTAACTCGTAGCCCAATGCCATCAGTAAATGCTTTTGTGAGTAACTTAAGTGTACATAAAGTGAAACAAAAATGAAATGAAAGCCAACCACTATATAAGCATAATAACGTTAAACTATAAAAAATAACTACTCCCAGTCTAGCGTATTTTAGCCAAACTAAAATAATGTTAACAACGCCGAGCAAGCCATTCAAATAAACGCATATACTTTCATTGAAAAAGAATATTAGGCGCACAAGTACATTATACACCGGACAAATATACACAACCAGTATAAGATAAGATATAGACGTTCGATCCATTCAAAACCAATGTCTTCGGCCAGCCGTAGGGATATACTTTACCCGTAAACTATACAAAATTAATCGTTTAAACTTTAAACTATGTAAATATTTCGAATCAATAAAACATTCTTTGTGTTTACTGAGAGAGTACTGTATACAAATTATTAAATATTAAATCAAAATTAAATATATGAGATCCCTTTTCTGGCAACACCCGCCCACGTTGTATAATTTGAATGGTAGTTAACCTAAATTATAAAATATACGTATATATTTCAGTGTGCTCATTCAAAACAAAAAATATATTCCGAAAAAACAAATACGAAAGACTCCAGTTCAATAGACAGCTATTTATTTAACAATATACATAATTGAAAGTTTAATTGGCAAAACATAAAAAATCATATTCGTTGAAACAGTTTGGATGATGATGTTACTTACAAGGGACAAGAGCCCCTAAATGCCTATACAAATCCCATATTTAAAGAACATGAAAAGCAGCAACAAAATTATAACTAAAATGTATTTGGAATTCAATAAAACGAACATGTTAAAAATTAAATCCTATTTCGGTTTTTTATTCGTTCAATTTTCAGCCTACAACTTAATGATTAGATTTTGTTTTCACAAGTCCCGAAAGCATTGAGATTGTGACTCGTTCCGATCCCAACTCTCAACATAAAATGGCGATAGTTAGAACTAATAACAAAAATATCAAATAAATACATGTATCAATTAATTAGGAAACAAGCTAAAATCACATGAGTGCTACGATGGAAAAGATGTAAAAAATTCAGGCAGGTGCAAAATGGAAATGAAACGACCTAGTATTATCTTCGGACTCCCTGGTATTCTCCGTTGGAACGCCCCTTGCCAGGAAATCCTCGGGCAAAGGGCGCCTTGGCATTGGTGGTCACATAGTAGTTTCCGCGAGCCCTGGAAGGGTTTCCAAAAATTGTATTATTTCAGTTATATTCTAAGATCTATCTAGTTACTTGTGAGAGCAGTGTTCGCCCATTAGCACGTAATCAGAGTCCTTGGGCTCACACCAACCTATCAGATACGTGAAGAGATTGGGGCAAGGTCCTGCATAGAAGCCCCTCGTTGTGGTAATAGATTCAATGAAATACGGAGTGACTTTGGTGTGATCACAGGCCAGAGTCTCTGAAGATTAATTAAAGTTTAAAATTTTATTTTAGAGACTATTTAGTTGAGTATTCATTTAGTGTTTATGCGTTCATTGTACTCTAAATTTGACTTATAAATTTAGTAATTGCTACTATAAGTTATATAAAAGAAACAAAATATTAAATAATATTTGTAAGTACTCACGAAACAGTGTGGCGGAGCCAACACAGGCTGGCTGCCTGGTTCCACCGTTGACGTAGAAATCTGCATGGCCACTGGAGTGCCACTGGCCCAGTATTCCGGCTCCTGTATGCAGGACATCCACGAAATGGGCGTCCGTGGTGTCCAAGTCCCTGGAGTTGTTCGCGCCGGCGTAAAAGAAAATCGTAGGATCAAGGGCAGTAATCCTGCCCAGCTTGCCCTCCTCGGGCTTCAGATAGTTGGCCACCAGGCCAGCAATATGAGCGCCCACACTGTAGCCGATGAAATGTAAGTCGTCCGGCTGGACACCGCGAGGATGCCGTGCCAGGTACTTGACCAGCTGGGATATACAGAGACTGCCAAACCGCGGTGCCCACTCCATCTGGCTGAGGCAGGGCTCCTTCACCGCGTCAGCGTAGTCCACTATGATGATGTTGTACTCGCCCACACTGAAGTACGCCTCGCGCAGGTCCGGACTGGGACTGAGAGTTCTGCCGCCGCCGAAGCCGTGTATGATGATCTTGGTGGGGTGGCGAGGATTGAAGTGCGTGTAATAGAGGGCGTTCGCATCCAGGACATCGATGAACTCGGGCTGCTCCTGGGTGCGTCGGGTGTACAAGTAGAACTGGATCTTGGGGTGGGGACAGCGGTAGGGCTTCTGTAGGCAAGATTCTGTCACATAAACCTGGGTTTGGTTTTGGCCAGCCGCCACCGCTGCGGCCACCACTCCGGCATTTTGGCCAGCTGTGAGGATATGATATGGAGGAGGAGTGGTCAGTTGTGATATTGCAGATGGGAGTCACGAACATACATAGTTGAAGTTGACAAACAAGTTTGCGCTATCCGACTTGCTCGGCTTTGATATTACATTTAATTACATAACCAGACGCCGCAGGCAGCGACATTGAATGTTTGCAATTTGGCACGCCGCAAATGTCATGCGATTGCCATTGCGGTTCCAGTTGCAGTTGCAACCACAATTGCAAGTTGCAACGCAACACAAGCAACAAAACCGAAAACTGTTGCAGAAAGTAAAAGTCTGCTTGCCAGGCCAAGTCGGCCAAAAACGGAAGTGACGATGGCCCGGCTCTTTGTTTACTTTTTTCGCTCTGGCTGGGTTTTATTTTTGACAAAACGTGCTGCTCATGATATAACTGGAGCTGGAGCTGGCAACTGGATACCGAATGAATATGCGTAATTTATTCGCTGATTCACGGCGTGCTTGTAAGGAAAACCCATTTGAGATCGGCTTATCTGACAATTTGGCTTGTTGCTTAGGAATAGAGATGCGCCAAGTGGTTCGCAATTGAATAAATATTATTTAATGCTTAAACATATTAAACATATTTGATATTTATTAATAAGAAACAATACAGTTACAAAACAAATGCCTAAAAAATTATTAACAAATATATATGTATTTCATGAATAGAATAGACCATAGGTAGACATTGAATTCAAAACTGAATGTACTAGGATATAAATAGATATATAAAGAAAAAAAAGTGTATCAGTGCTTAAAAAAGCATTGCTAAAAGTAAACGAGGACCCCTAGTAATACAGGTTCCACAGTTATAATACAAAATGTCTTAAAAAAGAGATTCAAATTAAAATGAAACAAATTTATTTAATTGTAAGAAGAACCCGCGGGCACTATTATTCCGCCACGGACATACCAGGCTTATAAAAAAATGTTGGCCAGGGAAAAAAAATCAGTGTTTTTAAAAGAATAAAAAGGTTGAAGAAGAAAATAGGTCATCCCATGCTAGGGAGAATCAAATTATAATTGATATACTAAAGAGAATCAAATTACAATTATTCAATCAAGAAATCATCGCCCAAAAATGAAAGTGTAAAATGTAATAATAAAATAAAGAAAAAGGAAAACTGAAAGCTGGTAATGGAAATTTTTGATGAATAAATATAGTTGAAAATAGATTTTTGATAAACGTGAGAAACGAATTTAAACGATTTAATTTTTTTTTTAATTAATCCATTACCTATTTAGAAACCATAGTTCTTGTTGCTTGGGTTTGATTAGAGGAAGTATTGAGAAAATTTTTAATTTAAACCTAAGATACATTTTTTTACTACTAAGAATTGTTTATACTTTTCCAAAGTATTCAAAAATATTGATTTTTGGTTTTCTCTACTTTATACTAGTTTTATTATTTACAAAACGCAAAGATCTATGCATATAATGGGACAAGTAACCTTAAGCTTTTACCAATGAAATAAAATGTAATTATTTCAAAAAACTACATTGTCAATTTTTTTTTTAAATGGATCTGAATCATATAACTATTTACCGGGATTAAGAAATCGATTCCTTCACATTCATTTAAAAATGGATCGAAATCATCATAACTATTTACCGTGATTACAAAATCAATTTATTCACATTCCAAAAACCCACAATATGAAAAAAACATGGATCAAAAGTCATAAAATGCTACAAGTCCAGAGCGAACTCGTATTTTATTTGCCAGTTAGGCTCCGAACTAGTTCCAATCGAAAATCAAATAATTCGCATCGATGTCGAGCTCAGCGAATGCGTAAGAAGCCTTAGCTGGGTGCCGTGAATTCAAATGGCCAAATTAAAAGTCTAACCAAAGCAGACACATGAGAATCGGCCTTCGAAGGGGAACTGTTGGCTCAGACGGTGGCGCCAACTGTTAGCTGGCAACCAGCAATTGGCCCACTTGGCGGTTGGAGTACTTTTCAGATGATAACCACAACCCGGAGTCTTGCAACCGGTCTGGGAAACGGTTGCAGATGCAGACTCTTGCCGGTTGGGTGGGCACTGGAAATACCCGAAGATAAGTAGCTGAGGCCTTATAGGGTATGTACATCATATGTATAACCCATCGACACAGTAAACGGCCAACTAGTTGTGCACATTTTACTTTCGATTGCAGTTGACATGTTGTCAGTCAAATAAAAAAAAAAGCGGCAGCTGGCTGAAATTAGGCATGCAGCTGACGGTTATTTTACATCAGAGATCCAACATAATTTCGACTGATCCCACCCACCGATATGATATGGATAATATTATGTACATGCCCCCCACTCGCCACTCTTCAATTAGCAATGGGCCGTGGTCGTGGTCATGCCTCAATTGTCTTTAGCATTTCTGTTTTCATTTGTTTTTCACAATCGTTTAGCTCTGGCTTCGTGAGCTGCTTTTTGCCGTCTTATGTAAGCCGGCCGAAAACTTAAAAAGCCTCCCCACCCACCCCCTTACTATTTATTTCAATTTCTTTCGAGCATTACGCATGCCAATTAAATGTCTTTTTATACCCTTGCAGAGGGTATTATAATTTTGTCCAAAAGTGTGCAACGCAGTGAAGGAGACATCTCCGACCCTATAAAGTATATATATTCTTGATCAGGATCACCTCCTGAGTTGATATGAGCATGTCCGTCTGTCCGTCTGTCCGTCTGTCCGTCTGTCCGTCTGTCTGTCTGTCTGTCCGTTTCTACGCGAACTAGTCTCTCAGTTTTAAAGCTATCGACTTGAAACTTTGCACACACCCTTCTTTCCTTTGCACGCAGTATATAAGTCGGAACGACCGGGATCGGTCGACTATATCCTATAGCTGCCATATAACTGATTGCTCGGAAATGGTATAACTTTGGTGTTTTTAAAGTTAGAAAGTTCTAATTTAACATGAGAGCTATTTTTGGCAAAACAATACGACGTGCCAAATTTCATAAGGATCGGCCGACTATATCCTATAGCTGTCATATAACTGAACGATCGGAAATGACCCAACTTTCGTGTTTTTGAAGATAGAATGCTGGAATTCCATACAGATTCTATTTTTGGTCAGTTGATCCAACCTACCAAATTTCATAAGGATCGGCCGACTATATCTTATAGCTGCCATATAACTGAACGATCAGAAATGGTATTTGGTGTTTAGTAAAAATAACAACTTTGTTTTTTTTGACGATAGAAGCTTGGGACTTTTTTTTAGATTTTGTAATTTAATTAATTGGTTTTATTATAATGTAATCATAAGGATCGGCCAACTAAATCCGATGTTTGCGATATATATCCGGTTTTAACTGCAAGGGTATATCAACTTCGGCTCCGCCCGAAGTTAGCTTTCCTTTCTTGTTTTTGGCTTTATTTACAGTTCATTGTTTTCTTTTTCATTTTCGAGAGCGGGAAAATTTCGGGAAAATAAATTGGAGGGTGGGTGGCCGGAAAAGTCTGTCCAACTAACACAAATCAGGCCCGAAACGGAAACCATCGAATGCGGAAGGCAAAAAACAAAATAAGACAGCTGACCACAACAAAATGAAAATGAAAACCAACAAAAAACACGAAAAAGACACTGACTGCTAAGTGAGAGATGATTTTGGGTTGGTTAGCTTTTTCTCGTGTTGTTTATGGGTTTTTGTGTTTTTTGTTTATGGCTGGGATTGCTTGGCATGAGTCATGGGCATTGTTTGGCTGTGACTTGAAGGTGGAGATTATTGGCCAATTGGACGACCGAATCGATATCAAGATTTGTGTGTCATAACATTGCGGGTTTAGAGTGGCGCTTTGTCTTAAAAATTCTTCGTAAATTACTTAATTTTGGCTTATACTGCTAAAGTGCAATTTCTTGACCCAGTTTTCTGAGCTTTAATTGCCAACTGCGCTTTGAGTTCATTAACCCTCCACAAACTCCACTAATGACAGCTTTAAACCTGCAATTCTATAACACAAAAATCCTTGAATGTGCCCCTGGCCCTATGAATCGGATACCTAAACTTGGCAATGACACGCACCCCGAAAACGCGCATACGCCCCATTAGCCCGCCTGCCGATGACGCTGGGCTCTAGTTAATATTGCAAAAGCGATATAAAAAAGTGTCAAGGCACAGGGGCATATAAATATTTTGAATTATGAGCTGGCTGCCAAATGGATTAAACGGTAGCCGGGTCAATTAATTAATTTATGAGCCGAGAGATTACAAAAGACGCACCGTGACAAGGCAACATTTTTGTGCAATTTGCGTAGGATGAGCATCTGCTACCAAAATATCAGTGATACACTTGAACGTGCCACAAAACCAGTAAAAAAGAGATGAGTTCAGAGAGGTTTTTTGTTTTTGTTGACCAATAAATGAGGCAAGGTCACACAATTGAGTGACTACACAGAAAGGGAAAAGAAAACCATATACATAGCAAATATTGTGCAACTAGTTAAAATTGAAATTTATGCCGACTGCTTAGCCGGCTGACGCAAATTTGAAATGTCAACAGAAAAAACACCAAAAGCCACCGTGACAGGGCCCAAAAGAAAGGTATGGCCAAAAAAAAGGTGCCAACCGACCAGACAGGGCGAAAGTAAAAGTTTAACTTAAATTATTATCAATCTCTCTCTTTTTTTGGGGCACAGTGTCTCCAATTTGTTTTATTTTCTTCTCTGTAGTTAATGGTTTTTTTTACATAAAAAATACAAACCGGCAAATTCCAGGCGGGAGAGTGTCAAGCCCACCAAAAGTAGCTGCAGCCAAAATGTTTCCCAAACACCGAAAAATGCACTTTTCTGATTCTTCACACTTTTAAGCCACATTTTAATTTTTTCTGTTTGGTTTCCTTAAGCTGTTTTCCTTTAGCCAATTTACACTACTGCTAATTACAAGTTGTTATTACAACTGTTGTATAATTATACGCTGCCCGAATGCGGAATTTTTGAGCACTCGAGTCTGGGTTTTTTGGACTGTGGGTCAAGGCCTGCTTGTTGACCGGCGACGGCTGGCTAAAAGTGCAAAACTCTTTCTTAAGCACCAGCTCGAGAGCTGGTCATTGGACTCGATTTCGATTTCAGTGCAGAGCAAGACAACGGCGGCGTTGGCAAGGCATAATTCCGGCTGCCTCACACAGAAATTGATTCGGTTTTTACCACACTTCTTGTATTTTTCGGGCACGCGCGGTATTTTGGAACTGGAGGCTGGAAATTCGCGGACGCGTGCGCTTCGATGGCGCTCTGATGAACGAGTGACTTTCGAGTTCGTGTCTTAAGTCTTTCGTTTTTCAAGTCTCTCCAAAAGTTTGCACCGGCAAACCAAAGCTCACTATTGATGGAAAGCTTTGCATTTGTTTTGGTATTTTTTAAATACTGACTTTACAGTTGTTTACTAAGTTATACACTACCAAATGGGCATTTTTTTATACAATATATTTAGTTCTTAAAATATTAAATTTCTTAAATGAAAGTAACTTATTATAAACTATTATTAGAAAGTAATAAAAATAAATGAATCCATAAAAAGCTATTTATGTTGTACTAAACAATAAGCTACTAAACAACAATATATTATCAAATACCCTTTAACATAAATAGGGTTTAGTAGTTTATTTTTCGGCAACTTCCACTGTAATGTCAACAAGAGGTCCTTTGGCAAAGGGAGCCACTTCATGAGTTGAAAGAAAATAGGAGCCCGAGGCACTAAACGTGAAAGAAGATAAATTCCTTATAGATATTAAAAAATAAAAAATAAGATTACTCACTCCCTGGAAACGAAGTATCCCATTTGAGTATTCGGCATGTTTGAGTAGTGATTGCAGCGCTGGGAAAAGAAATCCAGCCACCCACCACATTGTTGGGCCCAGAAGCCCCGCTCTGAGGTGATGGATTCCCCATAGTATATAGCTGCTCTATAGTGATTGCAGTTAAAGAACCTCCAGTTGCTGATGTAGCTGCATCCTCGCTGGTTAAGCTGGTCAAGATTGGGGTAAAAGTCCGCATGACCCATTGGCGGAAGCATGGAGAAAAAGAAGGGATCGGTATGAATGATGTCCACGAAATCCGCATCACTGGGATCCAGTTTTTGCTGTAATGAGGACTGCGTCATGAAACCAGGTCCTGCCGGATCTAAGCCAGTTATCCTGGCCAATGGCTCTGTGACATAGTTGGCCACCATGCCGGCTACCTGGGCGCCCAAGCTGAAGCCAATTAAATGGATATCCTGTCGTTTGTATATGCCAGCAGAGACCAAGTTGTTGATCATCTGGGCCAGGCACTCAGAGACAATGGGTGCATTTGACACTGACCACGGAAAGTAGCAGGGCCACCTCACCAATGTCTCATAATCCACTGAGATCACATTCACCGGCTGAGTCTGGAGAAGAACGTCCCGAACCTCCAAGTTGGGTGTCAAGTTCCTGTTTCCCACAAAACCGTGTATGAGTATTTTTAAAGGAAGTCGAGGCTGGAAAAGCTCCGCTTGGGGATTAATGGGGTCCAGTTGTACTGGATTATCACGAGTTTGGCTATAAATACACTGACTAGTAAGATTTATCCCACAATTAAAATAACTTTCTGAACTCACTTTGTGTAGAGCCAGAAAGAAACTCGCGAATTCGGACACTGATGTTCCCCAAACACACAAAACTCCGGCAGCCAGCCGCGCAGCTGTTTTTCTCCTTTGCAACATCCCGAGGAGTTCAAGATCAGGAATACGGTGAGGATCGAACAAACAACGCGATAATTGCTCATGGCTAGAGTCTGAACCGGTCTAAGCTCGCGTTCTAACGCAAAATCTATTAAATTTGCACTGCCTAACATTGAAAATTGCATGGAAAATGAGGGCCCATATAAAAAAAACACCGCCAGGTGATAAAGAGTCAAGGTTGCCAGCGCAAGGAAGGTTAGGAGGGTGGTAGTAGGTCAAGGTCGCTGCGGGTGGGGTTTGGCATTAGAACGGTCACAGCTGACACTGAGAATAATGATCAGCATGGAAAAGAGTATGTGATACTTTTCAAGATGAAGGTTATTTAGAGCAAAGGCAGAAATAATATGTTAGATAATAGGTAATTTAGCGAGAGCGGAAGTATTTAAAAAACAAGAAAGGAATGCTAACTTCGGGCGGAGCCGAAGTTTATATACCCTTGCAGTTAAAACCGGATATATATCGCAAACATCGGATATAGTTGGCCGATCCTTATGGGAATAGGAATATATAATCCAATTTATTACAATACAAAATCTAAAAAAAGTCCCAAACTTCTATCTTCAAAAATACGAAAGTTGATATTTCTACCAAATACCATTTCCGATCGTTCAGTTATATGGCAGCTATAGGATATAGTCGGCCGATCCTAATGAAATTTGGTAGGTCGGATTAACTGACCAAAAATATAATCTGTACCAAGTTCCAGCTTTCTATCTTCAAAAACACGAAAGTTGGGTCATTTCCGATCGTTCAGTTATATGGCAGCTATAGGATATAGTCGGCCGATCCTTACGAAATTTGGCATGTCGTATTATTTTGCCAAAAATAGCTCTCATGTCAAATTTGAACTCTCTAACTCTAAAAACACCAAAGTTATACCATTTCCGATCAATCAGTTATATGGCAGCTATATGATATAGTCGGCCGATCCGGGCCGTTTCGACTTATATACTGCGTGCAAAGGAAAGAAGGGTGTGTGCAAAGTTTCAAGTCGATAGCTTTAAAACTGAGAGACTAGTTTGCGTAGAAACAGACAGACGGACAGACGGACAGACGGACATGCTCATATCAACTCAGGAGGTGATCCTGATCAAGAATATATATACTTTATAGGGTCGGAGATGTCTCCTTCACTGCGTTGCACACTTTTGGACAAAATTATAATACCCTCTGCAAGGGTATAATTACTAGGTTTTTGCAGTTTTTTGAGATAAAACAAGAAAGGAAAGCTAACTTAGGGCGGAGCCGAAGTTTATATACCCTTGCAGTTAAAACCGGATATATATCGCAAACATCGGATATAGTTGGCCGATCCTTATGGGAATAGGAATATATAATCCAATTTATTTCAATACAAAATCTAAAAAAAGTCCCAAACTTCTATCTTCAAAAATACGAAAGTTGATATTTCTACCAAATACCATTTCCGATCGTTCAGTTATATGGCAGCTATGGGATATAGTCGGCCGATCCTAATGAAATTTGGTAGATTGGATCAACTGGCCAAATATATAATCTGTATTCAGTTTTAGCTTTCTATCTTCAAAAACACGAAAGTTGGGTCATTTCCGATCGTTCAGTTATATGGCAGCTATAGGATATAGTCGGCCGATCCTTATGAAATTTGGCATGTCGTAATGTTTTGCCAAAAAATGTTAAATTTGAACTCTCTAACTTTAAAAACGTCAAAGTTATACCATTTCCGATCAATCAGTTATATGGCAGCTATAGGATATAGTCGGCCGATCCGGGCCGTTCCGACTTATATACTGCGTGCAAAGGAAAGAAGGGTGTGTGCAAAGTTTCAAGACGATAGCTTTAAAACTGAGAGACTAGTTCGCGTAGAAACAGACAGACAGACGGACAGACAGACGGACAGACGGACAGACGGACAGACGGACAGACGGACATGCTCATATCAACTCAGGAGGTGATCCTGATCAAGAATATATATACTTTATAGGGTCGGAGATGTCTCCTTCACTGCGTTGCACACTTTTGACCAAAATTATAATACCCTCTGCAAGGGTATAAAAATTAAATTTAGTTTGCATTTTTACGTATTTATAGATTATCCGTTTCAGAGAAAATCAATCTCCAAGATTTTTCTTAACAAGCCAATCCCGTAAGGTTTTAAAATACAATATGTTTAGTTATAAATTTTATTTACGTGAATATAATAATAATATTTATTGTTATAAATATAAATACTTATTCTTTTAATATTATCTCTCTCTCTCTCTCTAAGTTTTATTTAAAGGCTCATCTTCCTCTGAGTCGAGCCACTCCAATTTATTGTCCAAGTCAGCATCTTGTGATTTTTCAACGTCTGGAAAGTCATCGAGGAAGGCTTCCAGCAACTGCGGTTCATAATCATTCTTGATTTCGTTATAATCTGTGGCCAGCCTAAATTTGGCTAGCATTTTACTGTTATCCACGTCCTTTACTTTGCCCATAGCGAATGGAGTCATATTCTTGGTTTCCAGGAAATACGAGCCCCTCATCTCAGTCGACAAGTGATAGCCCATACGAGCTTGCCTACCGCTCGTGGGGCACAATCTGATGAGGTGGAGCAGCCAACTGGAGCACTGCCGTCCCCAGAATCCATCCGAGGAGTTAATAGACTCGGCATAGAAGCGAGGAGCCCTTTCGTGATTGCAGCTGCCAGGATCTGAGGGGTTCTCCTCCATGCAACCGGGCTGCTGGGCCCCAAGGTTTGGATAAAAATCGACATGTCCCATGGATCGCAGCATTCCACGACCAAAAACATCGCTATGAATGACATCCACAAACTCGGCATCACCGGGGTCCAGACGTCTGTTGTCGCCGGCCAGGACAAATAGAGGCTTAGCAGGATCCAGACCGGTGACCCTTTTCAATTTACGCTTCAAATAGTTGGCCGTCTGACCCGCCACCTGACCGCCCAAACTGAAGCCAATTAAGTGGATCTGATCATTTTGAACTATTCCTCGGTCCACCAGATTGTTGATCAACTGGCCCAGACACTTGCTGACCAGTGGAAGATTCTGCACCGCCTGGACGTAGCAAGGATATTTGACCAGAGGCCCATAGTCCAAGGAGATCACATAGACGTCCTCGTTATCTAGCAACACGGGACGTATATACGAATTTGGAGCAAAGTCCCGATATCCTGTATAGCCATGGATCAAGATTTTAAGAGGACGTGGCGGTTGAAAGTCCCACGGATTAAGGTCTTCAGGTTTCAATAGCTTGGGATTACTCCGAGTTTCACTGAAGAAAGCAGAGGTTAATTTTGCACGTATATTTTTAATTAATTATTAGTATTACTAACTTGGAATATAGCCAGAACTTGACGTCTGGATGGGGACACTCTCCTTGAACCACTTTACATTGGGGATCTACTAATCCGAGCAGTGGATTTGCTTCCACACAGCACACAAACGCTGTTCAAGGACATTCAATTATTTGCAACTCCCTATCCTATAAGACCACCGATTCGCTTACCGAAAACACTGAGCCACGCCGTCAACTTCATGTCCCAAATACTTCTAACGTTTTAAGTTAACTGGGTTCGGGCCCCCAAAATCGGTTGCTATTTAAAGTGGAGCTCCCGGCTATCAATAGCAGCGATCTGTCTAGCGGCAACCGATTGAGGAAGTCGCATACATAAGCACCCACACAGGTGCAAATGGTGGTGTCGTAGCGCCACAAAGCCACCACTTTCGATTGGTGGCAAACAAGAATGAAAGTGGCTCTGGTTGGCGTGGATGTTAATGCGGTTATATTGGAAAAAACTATAGGAAATGAGTCAAGTGTAAATGGCATTATTTCCGCTGTCGACATGGTAATAAAACGTTAGGCGTAATATTTTTAACTAAAAATGTCATAGGTATGTGTCATAATCCGAATTTATTCTCAACAATGCATGTCAAATCTTCAGATAAAATATTTTTTCTATTTTGCCTTAAACGAGCATTGCTAACACGTTATATTCTGTAGGGAAATTTTTTCTTTTTGAAATATTCATCTTATGTAATTTTTGAATAATTTATTATCATTATTTTTAGAAATAAATCAGGAGTCAACGTTTTCATACATTTTTTTAAATCCTAAACTTGAATACTCTTCCGTTTCCCCATCTGAAATATTACCACCTTTGAAAGAAAAAATAAAAAGACTTTACTTTTATCCATTAAAACTTTTTTTTATGGTGTAATTTTAATATCCACAATATTCGTGAGTGATCATTTTTGGGCGATTATTTTATACATACATCAAGAGAGAGCTAAACAATGTTTGTAAATTCTTGACTTGGTTTGGGTAATTTCGAGGAATGAAATTCATTTCGTGCGCGACTACAAACTTTAGGCTTACAACTAGGCAATTAAACTAGAATATGCGACGAATTATACACATACGTTATAGGTAGAGCGTATAAGATATATTTTTGGTAAGTTGGGACGTCTAGTGCCGTCTGGCTCTCAAGGAATGTCTGGGGTGCGGTGCACAAAGCGCAGATGTGATGTATTTGAGGAATCCGTATGGTTTCACTTGCAACTGCCCCGGAATCGCAGCGGCTGTAGACAAATTTGGACCACGTCCACAGACGCTGCAAGACGGCAGTTAATGGGAGAAATGCTGATCCTTAAAGCTGTGCGTTTAACTGGGATGAGAGCGACCGATTCCTTGCAGCTCAACAACGTAAATTCATTCGCTAATTAACGCTAACTAGGTGTCACGAGTATTGGATGTGTGCGCGGGGTGAGAGATGATGCTGTGATGCCCACATCCACGACGTCTATGCTAATCCTGTAGCCTAGTTGAACAGACGCTTCAGTATGCTCTGGATGGTGGTCAGGGACTGGTCCTCAATGAGGAAGGTGCGGTGGTTGCCCTCAACAGTGTGAACTTCCACAGGCTTTGTGCAGACCTGATAGAAATAAATTTTTGTTAATATTAATGTTTCCAGTGACATCAGTTAGGTTAACCCACCTCCTTGAGGCGATAGTCCTCGTCCAGCTTCGCAGAGTTGTCTGTGGGCTTGACCAGGGACACAATGGACTTCAGTTTCAGCGTGGGTTTGTAGCTATCGGCCAGCTCCAGTTTCTTGTAGAACAGAGTGGCGGATTTTTTGATCTGTAAGATAAATAGAAAACAATTAAATAAAAAAATTCAGCTTTAGATTCGTCAGTGTCCTTACCGTTTCCACGGGCTGTGTGATCTCGTTGCTCATCAGCTCAGCGAACCTCTCCAGCTTCTCCTCCCAAGTGGGAATCACCAATAGCAATCGGACCAGCTATAAAAGGACACATACTGTTAGTAATCCGCATACCAGACCGAATGCAAAGTGAACTTACCGATTTGTAGTCAATGTTGGCCAGGACGATGCCAAAGTAGGCCAGGCCGTAACTCTGGTTGTTGTTGTCGTCGTCGGCGGTGTAGCGCTGCTTGAAGCTGCTGGTGTACCAGTTCACGTAGGTCGGGGCTCCGTCCAACATGATCACATTGGCCACCTCGTTGGTCTCCTCGAGAATGGCGGCCATCACGTAGGTGAGCAGGCAACCGAAGGAGTAACCGGCTAGCTTGTAGGGACCCTTTGGCTGAACGGTGCGCAGTTGCTTGATGAAGAACCTGGCAGCCGAGTCGACGGAGTCCAAGGGTACGGCTTCGGTGAACTGGAGTCCATAGGCGGGTACTTCCAGGCGCTTGGCCAGGGGCTCAAGGGCGGAAGCGAAGCCCTCAATGGGCGACACGAAGAAGATGGGAGTCTGCTTGCTGGTGGCGGTGGCCTTTGTGGCCAGCTTGACGATCGTCTGGGTGGGAATGAGTTCCTTAGTGAAGACCACCTGGGTTCCGTCGCCCAGAGGGCTAGCGGTGCGCGAAGATCCACCCGAGGTGATGCTCGCTTCCGTGGTGGCTCCAGTTCCGGGGGCAGCAGGTGCGCTGGCAGCTGGAGCAGCAGCAGAGGCTGGAGCTGCTCCACCGTCCATCGCCTTGAGGGCTCCGAAGGTCAGGCCTCGGATCTCCTGGGCCGAGAGCACAATGTCAAAGTTGCGCTCCAGCGTCTGCTTAATCTCAGCACTCATCAAAGAGTCCATGCCCAGATCCGCCAGGGAGGCTCCGTCCTGGATGTTCTTGGTGTCGCGCAGACCCAGAATGTTGGCAATGGTGGCGATCAGACTGACGCCGCCGGACTGGTCAGATTTGCGCTTCTCAGCCACCACCATGGAGGCAACCACGGGATGGGGCTGCTGCAGGAACAGGTCGATGGTCTGCAAGCACGATGGCATCCTCTGGGGCAGGGTTCCACCGATGACAGTGTCGTTGTCACCCAGGTTCTCCAGGACCAGACCAGTGTCTCCGATGGCTCCCCACTGGATGGCCGTGCCGGGGAATCCGCTCACCTGGCGCTGTTCGCAGATGCGCTCCATGGCGGAGTTGGCCAAACCGTAGTTGGTCTGTCCGATGTTACCGCGACCGCAGGACACGCTGGAGAAGCAGATGAAGTAGTCCAGTTCCGTGCAGATGGTGCGCGAGTACTGATCCAGGTACTTGGTGGCCGTCACCTTGGGATCGGCGACTGTCTTGAAGTCCTTGGCGGTCTGGTCCTCAATAAGAGCATCACGCAGCACGGCGGCCAAGTTGAAGATGCCTCCGACAAGGGCCAGCTTGTTGCTGTTCTCCAGAAGCTTCTTAGCTCCGGCAGCGGTGGTCACGTCGCTGGTGTCAATCACGACCTTGACGCCACGCTCCTGCCAGCGTCGGATCATCAGACCCTGGTAGCCGGTCTTCACACCAGAACGGGAGGTGAGGACAATGAAGCGGGCTCCGCGCGATACCAACCAGTTGGTAAGCTCGAGACCGAATCCTCCAAGTCCTCCCACCAGGATGTAGCTCTTCTCCGGGTGCATGTAGGTGCGTGGAATGGCGTTGATGAGGCGGGACTTGGGCTGCAGAGCCTTCTTGCCCGGCTCCTCGTCGCGGACCTTGATCACGACCTTGCCGATGTGCTTGCCGGAGGCCATGAAACGGAAGGCCTGCTCCACTTGCTGGTCGTTGAAGACGGATGTGGGCAGGGGCACGACGGCACCGGTCTTGATGCCCTCGGCAACCAGAGAGACGACCTGGTTCTGCATCTCCTCCTCGCCTTCCATCACACTGTCGAGCAGGATGCCGTGGAAGGAGGTGTTCTTCAAGAACACGGACATGCCCAGAGGACTGTTGTTGCTCAGATCGAACTTGCCGATCTCCAAGAAGCGACCGTTGAGGCCCAGGCAGCGGATGGAGGCCTGCAGCTTCTCCTCAGACAGGGAGTTCAGCACCAGATCGACACCGCGTCCCTTAGTCTCGCGCATGACCAGCTGCTCAAAGGAGGTGTCACGGGAGTTGCCAATGTTGCGCTCCTGCAGCTTGGGGAACCGCTTCAGCAGGAACTCGCGCTTCTCCTTGCTGCCCACGGTCGTGAAGACGGTGAGTCCATGGGCCAGAGCCACGGAAATAGCAGCCTGTCCTACTCCGCCGGAACCGGCGTGGATGAGGATCTTCTCACCCTTCTTCATCTGGCCGCGGACCACCAGGGCGTAGTAGACGGTGGAATAAACGCAAGGCACCGTGGAGGCCTCCTCCATGGTCCACTTCTCGGGGATCTGCCACATCATGCGCTTGCTGGCCACACAGGTGGTGGCCAGGGACTTGGCCGGTACCATGGCCATAACTCGACGACCCTGCGAGTCTCGGCCAGCGAACTCCAGTCCGAGCACGCAATCCTGCTCGGCCAAGTCTCCGGGCAGAGCATCGGCGGCCAACTTTCCGGAGGTGAGCATCACATCACGGAAGTTGATGGGGGCGGAGTACACGGTACAGGTCTCCAGATCCTTTCTGGCAGACACGCCGGTCTGCGCCTGGGCAGCCTCGATCCACTTGAGCGAGGCCAGGTCACCCTTGACCAGAGCGTTCACATAGGCGTGCTCCACCTGGAGGGTGGCCTGCTGGGTCTCCAGCTTCAGGTGACGGAAGGTTCCCCAGGCACCGTTCTTCAGCACGTTCGAGATGAGGTCCTTCTCCAGCTGCTGGCGGTAGAGGGCCGAGGTAAGGGAGAACTTCTCCGCCTTGGCGTCCTGGACGAAGACCAGGCGTGCCAGCTTGCCGCCGTTCTCGTTCTTGATGCAGGTCATCAGACCGACGGCGCCGAAGAGCTCCTCTCCTTGGCACACCACGTAGACATACTGCTCCTCGGTCTGGGCAGCGGCCAGGGCGGCCTTAAGGTCATCTACCCAGGTGAAGTTCTGCTCGGTGGCCACCACCACGACGGACTTGCGCGTCTTCAAGTCCAAAGACTTGCGGGCCAGCACAAGCACACGGGAGGCGCCCAAGCTCTGCTCCTGGACAGGTACAAATCCAAACTTGGTCAACAGAGCACGGCCGGTCTTGGTGTAGGTGGCAACGGATTCCTCGAAGATCAAGAAACCATTCTCGCGAATGGTGGCAATGGAGTTCTCCAGGGTCTTGGTGTCTGGGCGGGACAGCACATCGATGCCGAAGACAAAGTGACAGTTCTGCTCCACCGGTTCCTTCAGCACATCCTTGGACACAACGCGCACTCCGGAGTCTCCGAGAGCGGCAGTGATGGTCTCCTCGTTGTTGTTGGATGTGACAACGGCAACGTCTCCGGTGAGGACGGGCTCGCCCTCGATGATCTGCAGCAGACGGTTGGCCACCAGAACATCGGGATTCCTGCCATTGGCAAGCTCCACGCCCTTAAGCTTCACAGCGCCGCTTGAGTTCTC